CTACCCCCAAGCAGGTGATATCACACCATACTTTATATAAAACATATCTTTAGTAAAAGATCGCAACACATCTTCCCTTAGTTTGAGAACTAGCTAGCATGCTACAGACAAGCTCTGTGGATTGTTTTGCCCATCATGCACATTAATAGAATTCAGAAGTCCTAGTGAGTTTTGTTGTTCTTGCAGCTTTTGTTATTTCTTTTCTTTTTTTCTTCCAAGAGAAATAATCGTTTATTTACTAAAAAATATTGAGAACTCACTGAGTTGGGTTCCTGCTCAGTTTTACCATATGGTGGGGGGGGACAGACAAACTACAGTTATTAGCCATCTGATAAGTGTTTTAGCAGTGCCAAGTACAAGAAATTATTGGAGTAGAGAAAGAGCATCTCAGCTTGGCAGGAAGGGGTGTTTAGTAAGTTGATGCATATGTTGAGTCTTGGAAGAAGAGCAAGTATTCTTCAAATGAATGGCAGGGATGAGGATGGAGACTATTTCAGGGCTAGGGAGCAACCAAAGGGATCCTCAAATAGTTTAACATGGGAGAACGTTGGGTGAGGGTTGCTGGCCAGCGAGGCATGAGGTTATAAATTTAGTCATGGTTGGCTCACAATGGGCCTCAGATTCTACACTGAGGTATCTGCATGAGGATGGGAGACTACTGGCAGATTTTAAGCAAAGGAATAGCATGATTAAATTTCCCTGTAGAACTGTGTTTAGGGAAGTTGGTTTTGGCACATTGCTATGGTTTGGACATCGTATGTTCATGCCAAGTCTCATGTTGAAATTTGATCCCCACTGTTGGAGGTGGGGCCTACTGGGAGGTGTTTTGGTCATGGGGATGGATCCCTCATGAATGGCTTGGTGCCATCCTCGTGGTAATGAGTGAGCTCTCATTTTATTAGTTTCTCTGACAGTTTGCCCAAGTGCTGGTGTTAAAAAGAGCCTGGCACCTTCCCCTGCTCTCTTGCTTCTGCTTTCTGCATGTGGTCTCTGTTCACTGGCTCCTCATTCACCATCAGGGGAAGTAGCTTGAAGCTCTCACCAGATGCAGATGCTGGTGCCATGTTTCTTGTACAGCCTGCAGAACCCTGAAACAAATAAACCTCTTTTCTTTATAAATTACCAAGCCTTAAGTACTCCTTTCTGGCAACAGAAAAATAAGCTAAGACATACACGTGCTTGGCTTACATTGAGAAACACCATCAAAATCTGCTGATGTAGTTATTGTAGAAGTGTTCTTTATAAGATATCTCACATAAAAAATATTTTCAGGCCGGGTGTGATGGCTCAGGCCTGTAATCCCAGAACTTTGGGAGGGTGAGGCGGGCGGATCATGAGGTCAGAAGATGGAGAC